CCCTTTGAAGTCACATAAACTGACACTGCTAGTCTGGGCCTACCATCTTACTTGATTTACAAGCTAGAGGTAGAATTCTTAACCCAATGAGAGATAGAAATTATCATGACAGATAAAAATAATTTTGGTTATTTGATTAAAAAAAAAATTTTTATGTGAACAAATTCAATGCAGCCAAAAGAAAGGAAGTTGTTGATTGGGAAATATCTTTGTATCAAATATAAAGGTCTCATAGGAAATTTATATAAATATACCAGAAAAGCCATTTCCCAATAAATAGGTTGTCAAAGGATATAAAGAGAAAGTTTTCAAAAGAAGGAATGCAAACTGTCAATAACCATAAGAATCTCCAAATCATAAAAAAAAATTAAAATTGCAAATCAAAACACCTAAGGTTTCACCTCATAATCATCATATATGCAAAAATGACACAACGGGGACCTAGGTGATGTAACAAAAGATGTCAAAATTTTATTATTTTAAAAAAGCAATTTATACATATTTCATTTGATCCTTAAAACAACCGGGTGATGTAGATACTATTTTTATTCCCATTTTATAGATAAGAAAACTAAGGCTAAGATAGGTAAAAGGACATGCCCAGGGTCACACAGCTAGTAGGTGCCTGGGGTAGGATTCAAATTCTAGTGCTCCTGAATCTAATTCCAGCAGCACTCTATTTACCATGCCACTGAGCTGTCACCCCCCTCCCCCCTTTCCACTTAGGTGATGATATTGAAAAATTAACCAGAAATCTGTCAGCAACAGTATGATTTGTCATATAGCTTCATCACAACACCACAAGTAAAGAAATTTCATATCTAGATTAATTTAAAAATAGCCTTTTAAGCATCACGAGTTTTAGCACTATCAAAGAATCTTCTTAATTAAACTTAATGTTATTATTCTTATCAAACAGGGCATGTTTGTAAAGAAATGTAGTATAAACAAAAACCTCAATTAAGATAAAACATGTAATCTTCATATGGGAAGATAAAGTAACTATCTTCCTTTTAATCCACGGCATATGAACTAAACTCAAATTCCTCACTTAACAATCACAGATTAAAACTCGCTGCCTGCCTGCTCAAGGATTTCCAGTGGTTCCCTATCAAAAACAGCATCAAATATAAATTCCTTTGTTTGGCAATCAAAGCTTTTCATAACCTAGTCCCTACCAGTTTTCTCACACTTTTTCTCTCCCACGCCCAGCCACATTGGCCTACTTACAGTTTCCTCAAACACAACATTTCCATCTCCATACCTTTGTACCTACTGTACAAGCAAGGAACCCTCTGCTCCTTCACCTCTGCCACTGGCTTTTCCTGACTTCCTTCAAAATTCAGCTCAAATCCACCTACTCTGTCCCCCCAGCTGCTAATGCCTTTCTATCTCCTACCTCCTTCCATCTACTTTGTATAGATTTTGAATGTATCTAGTGGTTTGCATTTTATCACCCACATTAGAATTAAGCTTCTTGAGGTGAAAGGACTGTTTTTGCCTTTGTATTTCCAGTACTTAGCATAGTGCCTGGCATGTAGTAAGAGCTTAATAAATGTTGTCTTGACTAATAACTTCCAACTTCCATTAGGTAGTATATTAGAAACTTGTTATAGAGTAAAATACATCAAGCATGTACATTTGACACCCCTCCGCCCCCACGGGAAAGGAAGCCTAAATGCTACTACCCACAGAAGTAACTAAACATAGACAGATATGAGACAGTCAGGTCCTACATTAAAATCCTTGCTCTGCCTCTTACTACCTGTGTGACCTTGGGCAAGTCACTGAGCAGGTTAGACTAGATCTCTAGCTACATTTCCTTCCAGCTCCGAATCTATGATGTGTGACCTTATCTGTCCTAAAGCACAGAACCCACAAAGGCTACACCATAGCTTTAATATATTAGAATGATAAATACCATAAAAATATGAGTAGGACAAAATCTATCATTCTCTCGATAAGACATATTTCAGTTTTTTGTCTGACTTTTTGCTTGTCATTATTTAAAGTATCAGAAATTCTGACACAGACATCTAGTTCAAATTAGGAGATAAAGTGCTGATGGAAACATAGAATGGAAATACAGAAAAACTTTGTTTAAAAAAAGAAGAAAGGATGATGACAAATTTGTCATTATCAAATTTCTCAACCATAAAAAGCTATATTAGCCTAGAAGAGAGAAAAAACATTTCAAAGAATATTTCGGTATCATAATGCAGACTAAATTTAAAAAAATCTCTAAGGTGAATCATTTCACTGCTTCATTAACTTGGGACATTTATGCTGTTTGGTTTTCCAACTGTTCTGCTATGAAAATCTATTTTTATAAAATTATGTCATTCTATTTAAAGTATCACCATCATTTACTATAGCCACAATAATGAGTTGTTCTCTAAATGGGTATGCTAAAATAAGTCCAGAGATAAAAATCTTTGTTGTAATGATTAATATGTCAAGTGAAATTTCACACACTACACACAGGATAACTTACCATCAAATAAAGGGAAACAAACACTACTGTGGCATTAATGAGGATAAAGTGATTACAAGAGATTTTTACTTTCTCCTATGTGACTAGATCTTTCTCAGGCTATAAAAGGGGAATACCATCCCAAATGTCAGTGTTAGTATCATATTGTTCAAATTAAAGGACACATCCCTCCTTTCTTTTAATAAGCAATAAACCTGCTTTCATTCAGGAAATGTTTTTTGTTGAGGTAGGGAGAGGTGTTATGTGAGAGGTTTTGGGGAAAGTTGTTATTTGAATCTCAAAATAAATTGTATTAAATATTTTTAAAAGGAAAGTGAGATAATTTATGAATGAGAATTCAGAAATAAGTCAACCAGCTCAGTATGACCTTTGTTACACACTTCATCAGCCATGCATAGTTGCTGTATGGTAGTTAACTGAATAAGCCATGACTCCAAAAACATTCCCAATAGCAGCAGCAACAGGAGCTAGGATCATTCCTGTAGTCCAGTGATCTCTAAATTATTTTGATTGCGTACCTTATTAGAAAATAAATTTTTGAGCCCTCCTTATGTGTTATATATATACTTATTTGTAAGTTACACACATGCACTGCTATACTAACAATTACTGTATATTATAAAAAGCAAAATAGAAATTTTAAAATGAGATAAAGATGAAATATTTGATTCTGAAGTCAACAGGAAACCACTAGAGTTTATTAAGTAATAAAGTGACATAGTCAGATCTGTGCTTCAGGAAAATAACTTTGGGAGCTGTGTGAAGTTGGATTAGGAAGAGACTTGAGGCAGACAAATTAGGAAACTACTACAGTAATCCAAGAGGGAAGGAGGTGAAGAGGACTTAAACTAGGCTGGTGGCTGTGTGAGTATAGAGAAGGGGAAAGGTGTGAGAAATGTGTAGATAGAACTGGCAAGAACTCTAGAGACCATACTACAGTATTGTACTTAATGGCCTTAAACACTTCCAATTTTGTATCCATAATAATTGTTATACTAGAGTCAGTAGGCACCTGCACCTCTGCTTTCATTTGTACCTAATTCCAGACATCTGTGGATTTACAATATTATCTAGGGGTGGGGAACCTGCAGCCTCAAGGCCACATGTGGCCCTTTAGGTCCTTAAGTGCAGCCCTTTGACTGAATCCAAACTTCACAGAACAAATCCCCTTAATAAAAGGATTTGTTCTGTCAAAAGGCTGCACTCAAGGACCTAAAGGTTCCCCACTCCTGTATATAGTCACTTGAATGAGGGTGTTAAGAGACTTAAGATCTCTTATCATCAGCAGGTTTTAAAAGAAAGGATGAAAGCACGAAAATGACACACTCCCCCCCCCCCCCCCCCCCCCCCCCCCCCGTGATCAAATTCATCCTTCCTAGCTCCACTCACATTTCAAACTCATCAACAAGGACATACTAAAGGACCTCATTATTACAAATCACTGTCCCATCTCTGGATTCTCCAATACAGTTTATTTTTTTCCTTCAACATCCTGATCCACTCTTCACCTTTTATAACAACCCCCCCACCCACTCCCAGCTAGTGGATGCTTTCAGCCTTTAACCCACCTACTTCATTAACCTTTCTGCTGTGCTGGACTTTGGCCATTAGCTACAGCCTGCCTAATTAACACCTCTCTAGTACACTATACTTCTCTCACCTCTAACAATCCTTCAATGCCTCTAACTGTCCAATTCTCCAACCCTCTCACCAAACCCACCCCCACCCCAGTCACTGATTACTCTGGCCTCTTCTTTCCTGTGTCAGTGTTACAGTGGTATCAGAGAAAGTCCTACCAACAGGTAAGCTCTAGCTCACTGGAGGTCAGTGGTGTTCAGTTACCCAGGTCACAGATCATATTTGCTCCAAATATCCTTTCTCTTCATTTTAGAATTAGAGATTTAAAGCTGGGAAAGGCCTCAGAGATCATCTAGTCTGGTTTTTGTTTTTGTTTTTTGGTGTCATGGACTTCTTTGGCAGGCTGGTGAAGCCTATAGATCCTTTTTCAGAAATGTTTGTTGCCTACCTTCATAACTGAAGGAAATGCTAAATTTCAGTTAGAGGTTAGTAAAAATGAAGATGTAATTTTTTTTCTCCTTAAGCCAAATTCACAAAGCCCCTGAAATCTACTCATGACTCACCTTTGGGGAAGTAGCCTGTGGATCTTAGGTTAAGAACTCCAGATCTAATCAAACCTCAACATTTTGCAAATGAGGTACTTGAGGTTCTGAAAGGTTAAGTGATTTGCCTACAGTTACACAGAAAGTAAAGGGGCAGACCAGACACCCACATTCAGGTTTTATCTTAATCCAGAGCTCTGTACTTAATCCAATACTTTGCCTCTTGGGGAATATCTTCCTTTTACATAGATTTAGCCTAAAGAAAATATAGTTTCCAATACATTATTTTTATTTTGAGCACTTGTTTTTATGTTATTTTTCATATAACATATGATTTCAAAATATTTATTGAATCCTTCAGTGGAAATTTTCTTTACTTTTTGTAGCTACCCCTCCCAAGCCCAGCCCTCTTACAGGATGGAGTCCTATTACTGCAAAAATCCTTCATATTTCAAAGACAAACCAGGCTGTATTTCTTATTGCTTTAAAATCTGAAGAAATAAACAACATGTTCAACAACATATTCTTCTGGGAAGGTTTCTAATTGTACGCCTGAATGAAAATTGTCCAAAACAACATTTTGCCCCCAGGAAAAAGGCCAGAAAGGAGAATTTAAGGTAACACATCAAGAATTTATTTCCTGATTTGGAAATGATATAACAATAAAATTCTTCATATTGTGTTTCCATAAAATGAAAGTACTTGTTTATCTTGAGCAAATCTCTTTATTTCTTTAGGATGTCATAATCAATTACCCTGAAATCTACTTGGACATTTAAAAATGTGAGGGGGGAGGGGGAGAGGGAGAGAGAGAGAGAGAGAGAGAGAGAGAGAGAGAGAGAGAGAGAGAGAGAGAGAGAGAGAGAGAGAGAGAGAGAGTATTTATGTGGGTGGGTGTGTGGGTGTTGCCTACACCCATAATGGAAGGAAATGCTAAATTTCAGTTAGAAGTTAGTGAAAATGAAGACCGAATTTTCCCCCTCCACTCCAAGATTTCAGTATTCAGTTACAAAATAGCAAAAGATGATGCATTTAGAATCTAGATACATGGCATTTTAGAACCACCATGGGATTTCATATCTGGGACCAGACATTAACTGGACATGAGTTAAATCTGTCAAGCATCTATCATTTGCTTGGTGAACCCAAAAACATAGATCACCAGCTACCTGTAACTCAAAAGCCTTAGAGTGGTCTGAGGCTCAGAGACTGTTAAATAACTTGCCTATAGTCACAAAGCTATTAAACGTCAAAGGGGAGATTTGAATCCAGGTCTTATTCATTCCAAATCCTGCACTTTATCCACTACATCATGTTACCAGATCAACTATTAATACTGATTAATAAGTCAGACAAATAAGGCCTAGCTGTATATGTTTTTAAAACTCAAAGGGGAAATCAGAAGAGGATCTGACAAGTGTATCCCCAATTAGCTTAGGACACAGAGACCTGACACTTAACAAAACTGGAGCTAGGTGATGCTGCTTGAATGAAAGCAAGCATTTGTTAATTAAAATGATATATGGATATACTACCAGACGCGCAATGTAGTGATCTTCCAGAGCAAGTAATCAAAGGAAACTGAGATTTATGGCTGAAAACCAATGGGTTTGGGAGGCAGGGAAGGAGGAGGTTACACAAGGGAGAGGCTTGAATGTCAATGGGCAAAAGAAAAAAAAAGAATTCAGCATCATGGACAAGGGAAGAAGAACACTTCCCTCCTCAGGAACCCTTGGCCATCTAGTTAAGTTTGGTCTAATAGTTTAGCCTTTTTTTTTCTTTTTGATGAGGCAGTTGGGGTTAAGTGACTTGCCCAGGGTCACACAGCTAGTAAGTGTCAAGTGTTTGAGGCCACATTTGAACTTACGTCCTTCTGACTCCAAGCACTATCTATCCATTGCACCACTTAGCTGCCCTGGTTTGGTCTTTAAAAAAAAAAAGAAAGAAAGACTCTATTTTCCACAATTGGGGTAGGTATAACCCATCTCCCCAGAGCTACTGAACAGTGAACAAGTACTAAACCCCTATAGCAACATGCTGAAGGGGGAGGAGGATAGGTTAGCACTGGAGCACGGAATGTGCAAAGCCAGATTCTCCTAATGCTCCTTCCTCCACGCCCCTTTTCTTTACAAAGCCTAGAGGAGAAGTAAGATCATGAGAGGGAGAGTGACACTGAACTTACAGATAAATAAGTTAAAAAGTTATAAGTTTTAAAAAATCTTAAAATGTTTTGTTTCTGTTCTCTTTTCCTTTGTGTTTACCTTTCCTTGGTGTTTCCTTTGTGAGTACCAAGACTGGGCAAGTTTTGGCTCTAGGGCTTAGCAAAGAACTGATGTTTAACTATTGTGAAGTAAGGTAGGATCAGGGCAAGTGTAAGTGGCATATGCCTCTATTATTATAAAATAACAATAAATTAACACAAATTCAGAATTATTTAAGTTTGAGTAAGGTTTTATTGTATGCAAATTTTTAGTGCTTTTCTATGGACAAAGCTAAATTATTGAAACAATTTTGTTGTTCCTTAAGTCTATAAAAATAAAGGCTTCTGCTCTTAAATTATTTTATAAGAATTTTTTTTCACAGACATAAAACAAGACCTGAATGACATCATTTGACCAATTCTTTAGTTTATAAAAATATTCTTTAGCTTCTCACAAGACTTAAAAATATTTTAAAATCATAATACAGTCTTAAGAACAAATAGATAAAAACCAGTTTATCTGAAATATTTCAAAATAATGCTTTTCAGTAACACTTTAGTCAAAGATGATAATTTTAAAATATTTGTATATGTTATCTGTTCAAAAAGAGACAAAAAAGAAAAACTATGTTCAAGGTTAAACAATCAAAAATGTAACAAAGGCAACTGTATAAGGCGCTAATTTGGCAAAGAAGGTGCTAACCTACTTTAGAAGAAGAAATGTCCTTACCAGAGAGTTCCCTATACCAGTGAAATCAGAGGTCCAATTCCTAACCCCTGGTTACTAAAAAACAAAACCATAAATCAATATGAAGACAACAACAGGGTTTATTAAGAAGGCTATATTTACAGAAAATAATAAAAAGAAACAAAATGATATTATATTTTGTTATCCAATTATTATTTGTCTACCTAGAGGATGACTATATTTTCCATTTAGTCAAACATGAAGGTTTAAGGAAACGCTTTACTATATAGCAATGAATCCTTATTTTTGTGAGTAATTACCAAATATAATACTGAGACAAGGCAAAGTAGGCAACTATAAATACCTGAGGGTAACAGTGGGAAAAAGAAAGATCAAATAAGGGATATTTTAAATATTACTTTTTGTAAATTTACATATTTATAAAGACAGAATTCTGCTCTCCAAAGTATTTAGGTATTTATTTTGTGATGTTAAGGTGTAAGCTGTAAGGCTCATGAGGAATTCACAAATGTTCTGTTCCAGTTCTGATGAGTGTATGTGCGCTTCATGTTATATTTTGCAAAAGACTAGCACGTATATTTTTAAAATACCAAGGAGAGAAATCTGTTGAAAACAGAGAAAATTAGAATAATTGTACAAGGATTTGAAATCTAGAAAAGTAATTATCACTAAAACATCAAACTTATAAAGGCTAACACTCTACAAATACTATTTTAAAATAAAATCCCAAGGATTTAAGTCAAGTCAACAAGCATTTATTAAGTGCTTACTATGGGCAGGCATGGCAGCTAGGTGAATAGAGTCAGGCCTGGAGTCAGGAACACTCATCTTCCTGAGTTCAAATCTGGCCTCAGACACTTACTAGCTGTGTGACTCTGGGCAAGTCATATAACCCTCTTTGCCTCAGTTCCTCATCTGTAAAAATGAGCTAGAGAAGGAAATGGCAAATCACTCCAGTATCTTTGCCTGGAAGACCCCAAAATGAGGGCACAAAGAGTCAAACACTACAGAAATGCTGAATAACAACAACAATGGGCAGGCATTGTGCCAAGGGCTAGAGATACAAAGAAAGGCAAAAACAGTCCTTGCCCTCAAGGAGCTTACATTCTAATGGAGAAGACAACAGACAAACACAACTATGTACATAGAAGACATATCCAGGGTAAACTGAAGATAATCGTATTTTATTTATTTATTTTTTTTGGCGAGGCAATGGGGTTAAGTAACTTGCCCTTGCCTGGGGTCACACAGCTAGTAAGTGGTGCGTGTCAGAGGCCTGGATTCCTCCTGAATCCCGGGCCAGTGCTCTCTCCACTGCGCCACCTAGCTGCCCCTGAAGATAATTTTAGAGGGAAGTCACTAGCACTGGAAAGAACTAGGAAAGGCTTCGTGCAGAAAGTAGCATTTGAGCTAAGTTGAAGGAAAACATAAAACTGTATTTTCAAAGAATTCTTTAATTTTTTTACCTTTTCGAAAATTCACCAGCTCACCAAAATCTGGCTTTCTTGACCTCAAGACACAGTTAAAATAATTGAAAGCAATATGAAAAAAAACTCATCTGAAATATGCAACATGTACACTAGACTCTACTGACATTTCATCTTTTTCTGTTAAGTTTCACCATCTTTTCAGATAATGCTAAACTGGTCTGAATATAGATAGAGCTTTTTTTCTCACAGCTGGCTTGAATAAAATTTGAGAGCAGCCTGCATTTGATTTTTTTTTTCCAGTGTACACCTACATTTTTTTCCTTTCAAAGAGATCTAATTGTAGGGGCACAGACTACATTTGAAACAATATCATAAAGAGCTGGAAAGAACCTCAGTTTACCATTTAACCTACCTCCCTTATTTTACAGGTAAGAAAAGTCAAGGTCAAAGAGGTTAAGTCATTTGTCGAAGGTCACACAGGTAGTAAGTGGCAAAGCAGGTATCTGAATCCGGGACATCAGATTCTTACTCTAAAACTTTTTAAAAAGTATTCCATGCTGCCTCCACATTAGAAGAGGTTGTGTCCAAAGTGGAATACATAGCTCAGAGAAAGATCTTACTGTGGATATTAAAATGTTATTTGCTGAAGATAATGAAAGCTAAGCTTCAAGTTTGTAAAGATACTAATTAATAAAGAAATGCACTTAAGAATGATAAATGATTGTAACAAACTGATTCTTACTTTGTTTCATCTTATGGAAGTCACCAACTCTATCCTTTGAAGCCTGCTTTAACATGTCTGTCTGAATTTTGTGTTCGTTTTCACTCTCCAAATTTGGGCCAGGAATTAAACGCTGAAGAGGATTGGGAGGGATCTGCTTCAAAGTGTTGCTAACATGCAAATCTGTAGCATAAAAACATAAAGTTAATTTTATATTTTGAAAAAGTCCACCATTTCACAACAACTAAATGATTCAGAAGAACTAAGAAAAACTTGACCTCTCAAAGTTGGTCACTAATGTGATTTTCTCCTCCTGGCCCTGTTCCTAGCTTCTGGACTTCATAACCATGCTTCTTGCCTCATCCTAGAACTTCCTTGAGACCCTGTGGCCTCTTGGTCCTAAAATATCCAACCACTTCTATGGTCTTTTCAACCTGGAATATCCATCTATAAGACCTGTATACTTCATCCATAAGTGAATTACTACTGCCCTTTATTCCCCTCCGGGCCCTCATAACTATTTCCCATCCCTCATGACCACCCCCTTCAGCTATTTG